CAGACAGGCACTGGTTGGTCCCTGGCAACTGAGAAATCCCAGTCTGCAAGGCCAGCCCAGAGGCACTTGCTGTACTGGGATATAGCACCAGTACTGGGTGATATTTTCAGGGGCAATGACAGCTGTGTTCCCAGGCATTCAGACAAGGTCAGTCTGACCCTGATACTCCTTCCTATTGCCCAGCCCCAGGCAGTTCCCCACACAGGCCCTCTGAATTGCTTACCAACCGCCAAAGAATTTAAAAAATCCCTAACAAGTCCCTAAGAATCTCCACTGTCTGCACACAGGGTCTTGGGATGGGGGCAGGCCACCTGAATGACAAGGCAATGGTGCACTGACCATGACCAGCTGCCCACTCAGCCACTCTCATTCCCCCCACCTCAATAGGTCAGGGGGAGAAAAAAATCCCCTTGTGGTCAAGATCATTGCAGTTTAACAAGAAAAGCAAAAGCTGCACGTGGAAGCAAAACAAAACAAGAAATTCATTCACCACTTCCCTTTGGGAGGCAGATGCACTGCACAGGCTGCTGTGAAAAAAGTGACTGTCCTAACTCCATTCCCGACAGACCCAGCACAGACAGTAGACATGTCTTGTGTATTTTGTGTATACACTTGCGAGTGCTCACCTTTTTTTTTTTTTAAATCTTTTATTTTTCGCACTCCTGCTATCTCACTGGGACCCAGGCCTGTCTCCCAAGTGATACCCAGTTCTTAAATGTCATCATGTCAGATCCATCTGTACAACGAATGAACCATCCTCAGATGTCCTCAACAACTTCAGGAGTGCTCCTGCCCACAAATGCCCATTTCCCCTGTGCATGTTACCACAAACACCTGCAAATGAGCCATTACACAGGTCTGTGCTCATACACACCCATTTGTTCCTGCCACAAATACAGCTCGGCCATGAAGCTGGACCTCTGTGCTGGCAAGCTACTTAGCAACATGAACTCTCAACATCAATTAGGCTGACTGCACTGGTGAGCAGCTCTTACAATAAAAATCACGTTACCTTCCCTTCTGGCTTCCCATGCAGACAATGTGGCAGCCTGGGAGTCATGTTAGGTCAAGAGATGTGGAAGTCTGAACTAGCTGCAGCTGCCTCAAACAGCTCTGGAAGGATCTTTTCCTCTTTGTTCATTTTGATCCTGTTTTAATAGGCGAGAATAACTGGTTTAAAGCAGCACACAGAGTCCCTGGGAAACCCCCGGCTAGAGCAGACACTTGGCTTTGTCCGGTGCCTGGGCACCTCATGCAGAATGGGGACTTTGTATTTGCTTTTAGAAGATAACCAATTCATATAGGAGGTTCATGAATATTCAGCTTGTGCTTAGGGTTGGGGAGAACAATCCTTAAAACAAAGAGGCAAATTCTTTTACCCTTCATTTGGGGGAATGTGTTTTTCAGCCCAAGGGCTGCAAGTAGCCTGCCATCACTTTCTGTGCAGGATCCATTAATGACCGGTGTTTTTCCAAGCCTGAGCGTGCATCGCTGCTGAAAAATAGATGCAGTCAGTGAGGGCTTGGGGTTAATGTTTCTGGATAAAGGAGAATTTGGAGGTGAGTCCAAGAGCATAAGGAGCCAGGCTGAAGTCAGTCAATCTTGCTGTTGTAGCCTCTCCGGCTTTGTCCCCTTTCTGTGGCTGTACCTGCCCTGGGAATCTCTAGCAGAGCAGTCTCCCAGCAGTGGGAAGACGTGGACATGTCTTTTGCTGCATAGCTACTGCAGTTATTCCTCTGTGCAATGAAAAACAACCAGCGAAGAGTCTGTCTTCCCCAAAGACGTTTGCCAGTTGCATGCTATTCCCAAAGCTGCATTTAGCTTCCCCCCTCATTTTCCTTGCACAGCACACATTTTAGGGCTTAGAGACACTGTCTAGGTGTGGTAACAAATTACCAATAAATAATGATTGTAGCTGCTTGTCATTGCATCTGCAATGACCCCGCATGTGTTGTGAACTCGGCTGTTCCACCCCAGGCAGCAAGCAGCAGATGAGCAGGAGTTTGCCATACCACAGCGACCTGGGTGCATTTCTAGGCTCTCGTATACATGCTTCTCCACACGAAACACACCTTGTTGGTGTTGCTTACAGGAATTTCCAAGTGAAATAGGCTTTCCTTGAAAAAGTGAAATAACCCTTCCTATTAAAAGTACTCCTTTGCAGTGTAACTGTGCGCATGCTTGGGTTGTTGCTGCTCTGAGTGCTGTCTTCCCTCCCCTTCCCAACCCCCTTCCAAAATGATTACACTGGTAACACTTTCAAATACATCCTTGTTTTCCTTGTCTTCATCCTCATGGGAACTCTCCTGTAATTATTCCGCATTGTCCAACCAAAGCAGCAGAACAAGTTGGGTGACCCCTGTGTGACTGATCACCACCCTGCCATGGAGAAGACAAACAGTCAGGGCTGGAGCTGGGCAAAGTGGGCACTGTTTGCACCAAGTGAAGGGGATGTTATTCTGTGGATCTCTGGCCTGGTTCCAAAACTGTTCCAGCAGTGCCAGGTGAAGCTGGCTGCTAACTGAGTGCATCAGTGCTACCAGGCACCTGCCTGGAGCTGTGTGTGCTGCGAAAGAGCCTCTGTGTGACCTCTCATCTTTTCGCACTTGCCAGGAAATGTGTGCAACACCAGCTCCAATTGACAGACCCTCCTCCATGCTTCCACCTGCTGCCTTTCTTTTGCAAGCATGTCTATGTGCTCCTTTCTCCCCTTCCAGCTTTTACCTCAGGACCTCCATTTTTTCCTTCTGTTCAGCTCCAGATTTTCTATCCCACCCCCCCGCTGCAACCCTCCGTTCCCCCTGCTTCCCTCCAGCCCTGTCCTTCCCTCTATCACCATTCCTCTTCTGTTTTTCCCAGGTGAGAGGCTGCTCAAGCTATCCACCTGCTGACCAAGGGCGAGGAACAGGGATTAAGGAGCTACAAGGCCGTGGGCAGCAGGACCTGGTGCAGCAGAGCTCCTTTAGCCCCAGCAGTGATGGAGAGGGCTGTCAACGTTATTGTTGTGTTGGCATGGCAAAGGTGGGAGGAAGGAGGCAGAGGATGGGGGGGAAGGGATTTGAAACTTCAACTGCCCCTTTGTGTTTTCACCTCCTCCAGTTTATCTGGTGCCCTGTGGAATTTATGATCCTCCCCCCTGCAAGGAGCTGTTGTCTTTCAAGTCACAGAGTGCCTTCCAGCCGGGTGATAGACCAGCTAGCCTGCTCTTTAACAACCTCTAAGAGTGTAATGAGCAAAGCCAAACTTTCTCCAGGCAACAGTTTTAGGAAGACTGATTATCTCCCTTTTACGAGTGGGAAAACAGTGTCAATCCATTCCAAATCCCCGTGCTGGAGCAGAGCAATGGATACAGCCCCTGATTTATATGCTATTCCAAGGCTGCTAACAATCTCTTTTCTTTTCTCCCTCTCTATGTTCAGCTGCACATTTGCCCGATTTAGGGAGAATAAGGAGACTGACCCTTGTCATTTGAAGAGGCAGAGAGCAGGTAAAGCAGAGGAGAACAGGAGCAAATACAAAAGTCAGACAGAAAACTCCCATCTCAGCAGTAGGAATTGCCATCCAGGTCCTGCTTTCCAGGCACCCCAGATGAGGGACTTTCGGACTCTCAGCCTTATCTGTTTCTTCCCTCATTGCTTTGGGGTGTTGTGAAGGGGCCAGGAGGCACATTTTGAGAGCATGCAGCCCATGTGATGGGCAATTGGAGAACCACAGCTCCCAGAGCAGCTCTGCCAGTGATGGATTATACAAACAGAGCAGCATGAGGAGCAGCCCCTCACTCCATCCCCCTGTGTCAGGTCACTGTTCAGGGTCCACCCATCCTTTCCTCTCCTCCATCAAGTTCACTGTGGGATGGGCCCCAGGTCAGCCCTGGCAGCAGACTCCTTCTGAGCACCTGTGGCTTTTTCTGATTAAGGGACACAGAGCTAAGAGGCACTGGGAATTTGAGATAAGCTCCAGCACTGGGAGCACTTTTGACAGCCCCATAGCACAGCTGGAGAGACAGAGCAGTGGAGAGATGTGGATTTCACAAGCCCTGTGCAAGGCCTGAGGCACATCCAGCTCTGGAGGATCCCTGAGCACCTGGGGATGTGGCAGGCTGGCCAGAAGCCCTCTGAGGAAGGTGTTGATGCAGACACCTGCACACGGAGTGAAGTACCCAGTGCCCAGCTCCTGAAGCAGGTGCACAGTGGCAAGGTATCACATGTTCCTGGTGGCTCCATGCCCTTTGCCAGCTCAGCCAGGGGTGGAAGGACACAGAGCTCAGACAAGCAGGATGCCTTGCAGATATTACTTTCTTCAAACATCACCAGCCCAGTCTGCTTTCTCTGCATACCTCGGGGGGCTTTTACCTCTGTGGTACAAAATGCAGCTGCACCAGTGCTGCTGTGTGCAGCCTGAGAGCCCTTTGTTTCCACAGGTCACCCCAGACACCCTGCAAGCCTCCCTTTCTGTATGCAGCCTGAGGGCCCATCAATCCACCCCTCCTTTCTGCCTGGGCACATCCTGTGCCTTCAGGCAGGGGTAGGAAGCTACAAACTGTTAACTCCCTCCTCCCTGTCCCAAGAGATAAAGGCACAGATGCACTGAGCCAGGCAAAGCCTCCTGGCAGCTGAGATCCACACTAGCTGCTTGACAGGAGTGGCCTCCTCTGTGTATTACCTGGCACTCCAGATATGTGAGTCTTCCTCCTGGTTGCTAAACTTCAGAGGTCAAGCTGCTACCTGTGAGATTCAGCTCTTGCTGTCACTTTCTAACACATGGTTCTCAGTTACTATGACAGGAAACATAATTTCATTTGCATTTATTTTTGTATTTATAATTATACAACGTGAAAGGCCCATTCTTCCATAATCTCTGACACAGCAGTACTGACATCCTCTCAGTGGGATTTGCAACAGGATAGGCTGGTGGATTGCACGTTTATTGGATCAATTCCAGCTTGCCTTCTTCATGCTCTGCCACGGCTTCTCCGGTTACCACAGGTAGAAGTGCTGAAACCCAGAGCAGTAATGCACACCATGCCTTCTGCTGTCCTTGCTGGTGGGACAGGGAGAAGGAATGCCACCTGGAAAGGCTCCTCCACCTCTGCTGTCATAGAGAAGTCACGCAGGCCTTGGTGCTGAGACCTGCAACTCAATCTGTGGACATGACCTTTTGGTAAGTCAAGCTGAGTGTCCCAAGTTTCTAATTCTTGTGCATTATTAATGTCTTGCTCAGGAATTAATGTGGGTCAGGCCCTGCTTATGGGCCCATGTGTGCATTTCAAGTGTAAGTTTATCCAGAGTTCAGAGATGGATAAAGGCAGGATTTTGGCTCAGTCTTTTTTAGAAAAAGAGTCTATGAAGTAATGACCCAGTGACAAGTATCCTCTTTGATTTGGTTTCTATTCTCTCAACAGGGAAATTGTTCACGTAGGGCCACAGTGAGTCTTATGTAGAGGCCAGGATACAGACTTATGTTTGCACTATATCACAATAAAGGGTTGGAGAGGTGAGCAAAAATTTTAAGAGAAATGAGCAAGATGGGCAGAGGGCTCAGAAAACATGACCTCTGAGGAAGCTGTGGTAGACTCCATCACATTTTTCCTCTAGGCACAACTGTAAAAGTCGTGATGCATTATTCTCCATGTCCATGGATGCAAGGCAGGCCTGAGTTGATTTACAGTAAAGGTGATTTATGGTAGGCACAGGGACAATATTTTCAAGTTTTTAAGGATTGCTAGTCTTCCAGTAAGTACCCACAGACAGTGCTGCTGGGCTACCACCCATCGGTCTTTAAAAACCTGTCTCCACAGTCGGGGGAGGGTGAGGCATCCTGGATCCTGTCTCAGAGGCTTAGATCACCATGAGCTAATCGGTGAGGCAATTGGGCATGGCCCTTGGCCTTTTTGGAAGAAGGCTTTTAGGAATGCATTCAAGCAGCATCCCCTTCATTCAGCTGGGTGGGGCTGGGTGACAGCAGCCAGAGATCTCACAGCTAAACTGCAGGAGAAAATGTGGAGGGCACCTTGCATAGGAGTGCATGGTGCAGTGGGGAACTACAGTTTTCCACTTAGGATATAGCTGGAGTTTCCTAGGCTCTGTGATGAATCCCCATCAATCATGGTATTTGAGACTTACCTATGGCTAGAAGCAGGGCAATGCCTGTGAAGTTTACAGCTTGATCTCCTTCACAGTTCAGGCCTAAACCCTACCCTTTGGATCAAACATTTCTTTCTCTTTCAGATGTTGGGTAGAAATCTAGTCTTGCAATCCAGCTGGTGTAAAGGTCTAGTAAGGGTGAATAACATTGCAGCTACACAGTGCTAAGCACAAAATTAGGTGCAGTACTTGGATTACCTTTTTTTATTACACTGCAGTGTTCCTTCAAGGCATTCCCTTTTATAGAGCAAACCTAGTCCATACTCATTAACTCAGATGGACTGATGGCAAGGAGCTTGGCTTTCCTGTCCCAACCACATCAGACAAACAAAAAATAATCCTGCATCAACAGAGACACAAGACTGCGTGCCAACAGGAACCAGAGGTGTAACCTGCATCTACTTCCATGGTTGTTTTCCATCCCAGCCTTCCCTGACCATTACATTTCCTAATGGCATTGCATCTGCAAGAGACATTTTGCAATCTACTGTCCTGTTTCTGAGCAGAGAAATGAGGCTCCACACAGCATAACAGGAGAGCGGAAATTTAAAGAGTTAACAGCGCAAGATTGAATACCAGTCATGATCAGATCCCTCTGCAGTCCTGAGGACCTCCAGGTGAAGAAAGGGAGCTGCCATCTTTTAACTGTATTCTAGCTTGCCACACCTGCCTCATGGCACCCTGCCTGGTGGCACCCTCCCCATATCTGATCACACACCCTTCCTTGTCCTGTGACCTTTTTTCCTTCCTTGCCATATTATAGGGTGATTTGAGGATTGCTGGATGTCCACAGAGCACAAAGGCACCTGTGTTTTGCTGTCAAGGACTCTGGAAATGCTGCTAGAATCTAGCTGACTCCCCCCCTGCCCCCGCTCCCCCAGTGCTGCCTGTGTTGGCAATATTAACAAGAAGTTATTTCCAAAACTGAAGTGAAGAGACAACTCCCTGATTGGAAGAGCAATAAAAAAAAAATCTCACTCCTCTTTTACCCTCACAGTTTTTTCTTTTCTTCGCTCCCCTCTGCTTACTTCTCAGGGGGTTATGCCCTTTTATCACCACGCCTGTTCTCTGTCTCCTGGGAGAGCTAAAAACCCCAGCATGAGAAATGCGTCTTTCTTACGGTGGAAGCTCTCCCAAAAGCCTTAGCACACTGGTGAAATCCTATACTTCAGAGAACCACCCACCTCACTCATGCTAAAATCATTGCTTGAAAGATCACATAAAACAATCTGTTACGCAACTCTCAGAACACCAAATAACCCCCTTATTTATAGTATATACACTTGCAACAATAAACCTCCCTTTTGAACTGCATTGGTCAATATAGATTTAAAAGGCTTTTCCTATTTCAGCCAACATCTCAATTTGTTGTTAAGCGTTCAGTGCTTTGGCTTGAGAGGAGCTGGTTGAGTGACTTCTTTTAGGAGTAGGTGATTAGGTTTGCAAAAACTTCTCCAGTGTGGTTCTCTGGGAGGTGGTATTGCTCCAATTTTTTTTTTATGCCAGCTTCTTCCTCTATACGTGAAGCCTGTGTCAGGAAGCCTATGTTTTGAGTTTGTAAGTATACCTGGAAAATATTGCCCCAAAAATTAAGGAAGAGGATAAAGGCTAATACTTCAAGCTGCTAAGAAAAGATTTTTAAAGTATCTGTAACATTTGAAAGGCCCTTTCTGTGATAGGTCCAGCCTATAAAGGCCAGCAGCAGAGCACCAACCACTTGCAAGCAATCCCCTGCATGCCCATCACAGCTCCTTCGGTCTGTCAGCAGAAATAATGTTTTTCTGCAGTGCCCAGGGCACTACGCCAGCTGCCAGAAGCCACAGACTTCTCTAAGCTCCCTCCCCGATGTTCAGGCGAGCCAGACAAGCTCAAGCTGAGGGATAGACGCTGGGCAGGTGCAGTGCCTGAGCCATCCCAGTCCTGCCAGTCAGCAGCAGCCCGAGCTCCTCCAAGGGCCACCTCAGCTGCTTGGGGTGGACTGAGCCACGAGGGGAACCCTCTGCCCCATTGCCCAGTGCTGCTGGCCAGTGTGGAGGTTTGGCTTCTCCATCACCCAGCTTCATGGAATCACATGACCCACAAGGATCAGGGAGCCCAGCTGCTGGCCAGGACCATCCCCAAGAGTCACACCAAATACCCAAGAGCATTGTCCACACACTTCTTGAACTCCGTCAGGTTTGGTGCTATAACCACTTCCCTGGGGAGCCTGTTCTGGTGCTCAGTCACCTTCAGGGTGAAGAACCTTTTCCAAATATCCAACCTAAATCTCCCTTGACTCAGCTTCAGGCCATTCCCTCTGGCCCAGTCACTCCCATCACAGAGAAAAGATCAGTGTCCCTTTATTGCAGTGACCAAAACCACACACAATATTCCAGGTCAGACCCCTGTTATTTCAGTTAGAGAAGAGCTGACCCCCTCTAGATCTTCCCCAGTCTTTTCCATCTCTTTATTGCTGTTGGCTTCCTCAGGGCAAGGAAATACTTTCTTTTATGCGTTGGTTACAACACTCAGCGCATGATTTGTATATTTTTATGTGCCATGCTGAGCCCTTGCCTGGAGATGCAGGAAAAGAAGATTGTATGGGTGTGACATGCATTAGTTCTTAAGAACATACCTCGGGGAGGCTGTCTGGTGAGTTAGGCAATACCCTTGGAGAGGTTTGTGTGCACACTGTAAGGAAATAAGCTTCAAAGAATGAAGGCAAGGCTGGCAGTGTTTGTTACTGTTGTCTTCCTACTCATTGGGGCATAAATAAGAGACAGGAAGCTGCCTCTCTTTATGTAGGAACTGGAAGCTTTCTCATCTGTCCATTGGGATAGACTGGAGATTACTCAGGTTGTTTTCTTCATCACGTCTTTGCAATACAGCTATATTTCTATGTATTTACTCCAGTGATGTCTTAGGCTTAAAATTTCCAGGTGTAGGTATTCTAGAATAGTTATCCAAGCAAACCTTCCTTGTGCGAGTACTGCATTTGCTGTCACAAGAGAGTTCTCTTGGTTTAGCTGATTTCGATAAGTGAAACAAAAATTATTACATATTGGCAAAAAGACTTTTAAGTGGATTCAACTGCATTGCACTAAGGTTCTTGTCATTATGGAAATTTCAACTTCTCTGCCAAAGGGAAAAAAAAGATGAAGTAAAAAAGGAGCTGTTCCTTAACAATATTGTTATTCTGGCACAAAAAAGCCTGTCACAGACATGTCTTAAAATTAATTTTCCCAGATATTCACTGAACTCATGATTATCATCTCCCACTAAATATTTCCACTTTAAGTAGAGACCAGGCTTGAAACAAGATAATGCATCCAGCAGTCCATCTGAACATTCATATATATATGAGAACAAGAGCTGAACTCTGACACAGCCCTCAAACCAAAATAAATTCCTCAGGCTTTTTAGAAGTGAGAAAATTCAGCTTTGAAAATGTTGGGTTTGGTTGGGGTTTTGGGTTGTTTGGTTTTTTGGGGGCTGGGTTGTTGGTTTTTTTTGTTTGGGTTTTTTTTTGGTTGTTTTTTGTTTTTTTCTTTTTTCTTTTTTCCTTCCTTTTATCTGCAAGAGAGGAATCTGCTGGATTTGAGCACTAGATCAGAAGATCTTGAGGCTTAAGGGCAGATCTCAATTATTCGGCCCAGGTCTATCACTAACCATAATGGGCTTTTTGCATCGTTTCTTGAGGACATGCCCATGCAGACAATAGCTATGTGCTGGCAAGCCACGGTCTAAATGCATCTAAATACCACATAATAATTAAAAAAACCCACACGGGGGACGGGGAACTGGGCTGCTGTACTGCCTGTACTTGGCAGATACCTGTGTGGAGCAGTGTCATGGGGGGAGCAAGGCACATCCTCTGGGACATGCTCTTCCTCAGAGCTGCTCCCCCGCTCTGCCGTCTCCACTGTAATTGCCTCTTGGAGTGCTAGATGTTAACGCTGTGGCCCCAGGGAATGCTGCTTTTCCAGCAGCCTGTGGGAAAGAACAAAGCGGACAACAAGAGAGCGCCTGGAGCAAAGC